GGTAATTTGTCCTGACCCCGATTTAATGGTTTTAATCGTCGAACAATTTCAGGTGCTAAATAGCATAACCAACCTGGTGGTATATTCAATGGTTCTCCTTTCCTAAATATTTATAAGAATGAGCTTATATTAAAAAATAAGACATAAATTATTTGGTAGGAATAAATATTACTCTGTAAGATATAATTTTACCTATTTCCGTGGCACAATTTGGTAATGTTAAATAAACCGAAATCTGATATCACAACTTTTCCATTTTCTACAAATACATTCTTGCTTCTAAGATCCTTGTGAATTATATCGCGAGAATGAAGATATTTCATTCCCTACAAAATAAAGTTGTTTACAAGAATATACTATATAATAGGATTTTTTAAGTATTTCTAATTTTTTAATGTTTAATTTCTTAATAAAATATTTTATTTATACATCTTTTATCATTATGCTATTTTTAATATATTAAGTTTATTTAATTAATAAGTATAATTATATGTATATACAGATAACTTGTCTTAAAAATTACCCTAATTTACAGTAAAAAAAATTACTTCAAATCAAACTAGGTGTTTCTTATTTTTAAATACTGAAAACGATGCCGCAAGTAAAAAAATCCAGCACGTCAGGAGGTTTCCAAGATAATTAAGGTTTAATATTTAAAAAATAGCTTTTTTTTAACGATATCTAACTTTTTTTTTGTAAAGAAAGTTAACATTATTTTGAAATTTTAATTAAAAGTCATGAATGTGTTGTTCATTCCCTATAAAATAAATCTTTTTATTTCAATATCTTACTTTTTAGAGTCATGTTATAAAGGATTTAAATACACAGGGTTTTTCTAAGATAACAAATTTTCCACTCATCTGATCAAAATTTTAAGATAACGTTAACTTTTTATACAGAAAAATAATGCAAAAGAGCCATTTTTTGCACATTAAATCTCAATTATTTCGGAAATCTGCTAATTTAACTCGGCATCGTTTTCAGCATCCAAAAATTTATAAGAAACACGTTATCTAATCCAAAGTAATTAAAAATATTTTTTTGTAAATTAATATTATTTTTAAAATAGTTGACGTAATATTTATATGCGATTTTCATATTTACCTGACATATCTGTTGAGCTATAGAATTAATTTCAGACAAAGTAAATCTGTCTTTTCGTATATGAAGGCAAGTATAAAGTGATATGCCTCTAGACAAACTAGTCACTAGAGTCAATTGAGGAGGTTTCGTACAAACTCCCAAAAATAATATTATATTGTCGTGTCGAGCTATTCGGTATGTGGCGACCTATAATAACCAAATATATGAAATATCTGTTACATAACTATAAAATATCCTTGATTATTAATAATTTCAGTATTTAATATAATCAACATAATTATATATTCTTGCCTCTAATCTAAATGTTTCTAATGTCTTCTCATCTTCTGAATAATAACTCATATTTAAAATTTTAATTGCAGTATCCCCATGCCAAAAACCTCTATACACTGTAGCAAATCTTCCTTTTCCAATCAAATTTCTAAC